GGCACCAAAAGGCATTGCCATCATTTGGCACAGGGGCTTTACAGATATAAATTACAATGGCAGCTCTAGGACAAAGTACGCAGAAGGAGAAGCATGGCAAAGTTGAGATGACTTGGATGGGAAACGAATCACAATAGTGTGCATTGTATTGGCAATGCACACTGATAATAATAAATAGAAACAGGAAAACWATAGTGTACATTGCATTGGCAATGCACACGGATTACYCGTCTGCAAGTTCTGCATGTAAAGATTGAATTTTCTTTTTGTGTCATTTGTGTAGCATTTAAAGATCATAAATCAGTTTTCAAAACTGGGGAGATTATCACCTGATACCTTGCGTTAATGTTTTGGTCAAATGTGTCACTGAGTACTGCAAGATATTGACTAATGCACAAAATTGKCTCAATGTTTGTAAAACTTGCACTTTTTTGTTTTTACTAATGTCAAAGAATCCATCTTTGGGTTGATTCCAGTAAAACCAATTGTTTCACTAAAGAGTTTGAAACTGAGACTAAACGATCCAAACTGAGAATTAAAATGAAAAWTTCCTTCTGATTTAAGGCTTTATCTTGCAGCAAAAGTTCATAACATTTGATAAAACAGGCTGAGAATGCCCCTAAAATTCAGTTTCAGCTCCAGGTCTCTGTAGACTCCATCAGGAGTTCTAACCGGTCAGGTTGATCCTGAACATTTCAGCTGCTTTCCTCTCAGCTGAAGGTCGTTAAGCTTTTCAACTTTCTGCTGGATTTCCTTTTTAAGTCTCCATCTCTGCAGCACAGCTGACTCGTGTCCTGTCAGCCTGCAGGTTTGTGTGTTTGCAGTTTTTACACAGAGCAGCCTCTGAAGTGGTCTGTAATTACCCCGCCTGTTCTGTTTGTCGTGTTCCTCATTTATAAAGTGAAGATAAAAGCAGAAAAATGGATCCTCTTAAGAACAGAAAATTGCTTCGACTGTTCTGTGGCTTTCAGCGTCAACAAACGGATGATTGAAAGGTTGGACATGTTTCTATGGTGACTTAAAGTTTGAGAACAAATCTTTACCTTGTTCATTTTAATGCAGATTTTCAGAGTGAATAGTTTTTTATAAGTTGTCAGAAGTGATGGGACTGCCTGTTCACCAGGAATGAGCTCTGAATCCAGAGCATGTGACCTTTAACTTGAGGTTTTGGAACTTTTGAATCATAAAGAACCAGAAAATCAAAAGTAAAAATTTGGTACAGTTTGATGTTCGCAGAATATGCAATTCAATTTGCAGAAAATGAGCTGATTAACTTCTGGAATCAACCCTGTTCAAGATGGCCGACAGCCAACTGACCCAAAAATAAATTCTGCAAATGTTGACTGAAAAACACTGAAGCTAATCCTCAACCTCAGCTCTCTCTGACTGAACATTATCATTGTTTAAAACGTTACCATATTTATACTGAAGCATTTTTCTACTTCATTTGGGGAACATTTTAAGTCTCTTACAATAAATAATCACTTTTCTGTCTTTTTTTCTTTCTTTGTAGCTAATCTTTGGGGCAAAAATGGCATCTTTGATTTGATTTATTGATTCAACAGGGAAAGATTACTAAAAATCAAGCCTGACTCAGCATAATTGCTGTTTTACAGCAAGTTCCTGTTCTGCAGCACATAAAACACTCAGAAATATAGCATCACAATCACATCATTACACACAATAGACACAAAGACAAACAAGCATACCAAATTTCAAAAAGGCAGCATTTGCAAAATAGGACGTCTAAATATGAGCACAACAAAAAGTGTCCAGCAGATGGCAGACAAGATTCTTCTTAAAGGGCTGTAGTTTTGAAACAACAGTTTTTATGAGTGAGACCAACGTGTTCGCTCACATCATAAAAATACAAAAAGCACAGGTGCTGGTGACCGGGCATGCAAACAAGAATGGATTTAAAGGGATCCCCGATTAGTTGTAACATTAGACTTTATATGATAAACATATACTTTAAC